CCCATCAAGAAGCCGCTCGCGTCATTGTTGAGAATCCCGTCGCTGCCCGACTCGAGGAATCCCGATGACTTTCCCTCCAGTCCTTTCTCATTCGAGAAGTCGCCTATAAATTTATACCCTCACTGTCAAGACCCGTATCTGTCCTCCAAGGAAATAGACGACGAGGGCATATCAGTTGTGGACGATGGAGAAATTTTTGACCACCAAGGGATTCCAACTGCCCCAGAGAAACCAGGCACAATGAGGTCACCGAGATTCCACAGAAAGGCTGATAGCGGCTACAGTTCTGCAACCTCGGTCCGGTCTCTGCAGGACGGTCGTTCTCGAGCCTCTATAGATTCCCAAGCATCAAGAAGACGCTCGCCGGACCATTACCCTTTCGCTCTTGGTGACACCACGAAGACTTTCCAAATTCGGGAGGAACCAGGCAATCAGCTTGTAATGCGCCGCCATGTGAGCCTTCAGGGCCACAGGGCGAGTTTTATGGCTGAAGCGAGCACAAGTACAATGTGCCATGAAACTCAAGAAATATCCTCTCGCAGTAGAAGCTCGTCATACTCCTTTCCACAGAATCCCAATCGCCCCCACTTTCGAACTCATTACTGTGCGCAGTTGCGCAACACTGAGCCGATTGCCAACCGCACGCCTCACTCGTCGATACGTCAGATGGAACATTCCGACCTGGAAGCGGCAAGGGGTGTTCGAGACAAAGAACACACTGTTAAGCCCAGTGACCCACGTGATGCATCCTGTCACTCCCAATTGGACCACACAAAGGAGGCCGTCGACAACATCAGATTCCAGAGCAACAGGCTACTCAGGTCAGCATCTGAAAGTAACTTCGCCCATGATAGGGGCTCCAGATCCGCAAACACTCGAGATACGGGCCCAAAAAGAAAGACAGTGGCCAGGATATGGTCGCAACGACCGGGCATTGAGGCCCCACCTTTGCCTGTGTCTCCTATTTCAAACACTTTCGGAAGCTCAGCGCACCAAAAGCACAGTGCCTGCGCATCGCAACCAGCACGCGATAGAGGCCAGAGCCGGGGCATTGAGCTTCAGCACCGAAGGTTGCCGATGGCTAAACCGCACGCCCAGAAACGTTCGGACATCTACCTGGCAACATCCCCGTTCATTTTTACTTGACTCGCTATCCTATCTTAAGCGCCCTTCGTTTCTCGATCCACGTTTCTCTTTTTTTTTTTTTTTTCTTTCCCCATTTCATGAGTTTCTTTCAACCCATCTGACTTTCTATCGACGATTCTGACTCCAGACGTGTTTCATTCCTCGGCTCTCATCTCGTACGAAGCATTACCCATTTAAGTCTTTATTGATTTTCCTATGGAGTTTGATATCCTGGTAGGCATACGGTGTTTCCACGATCTTTTCTGCTTTTTGAACCTCCGTCCCCAGTCATATCCAGCGTTGCATTTGTTTGATCATTTGATATTACTGGATCAAAGTCAGATGGCGTTGGGCGAAAGTCTGTTTTTCTTTCTTCCTCTCACGACTATCTTTTTTTTCTTTTTTCCCTTTTTCTTCTGAAAGTTATGCGTCTCTGCCAACATGCGAGACACGAAGAACCGCTACCCTGGAGCGTCACAACGCCGGTGAATCATGGCCTGAAATATTTGAGATACCCGGATTTATGTGGAACTTCTTGCGTCAACGTGCAATGTGGCGGTGAAGTGTTTGTTCCCAATGTCAACAATACATAAAGGAAGTTGATGATGTATGATTAGTGTTGAGTGGATTTACAGAAGCCACATGCAAATCCAAATTCAGAGTCAAAGTGTGTGAAAACGAAGGCCCCAAGATTAAATGATCTTAAAGACATAATAGATATTTGTGCAGGTCCCTGTAATGCATTTACAGCATGGTTGCGAGGATCGCATTGGGTCTATCTGAATCCTGCAGCAACGCATGCATACAGTGTTCATGCATTGCAGGTCGAAGGAACTTCTGGACATTAAACCCAGCATTCAATGCTCACACATATTCAATTGATCAACACATGCACACGTGTAAAATACGATGACGTAGCAGAACCCCTGGACATGACCATGAGCCCCACGGTAGAAATTGCCAATGCCAGGATCCTACTGCACAGGTCGTGGATAGGCTAGGTGAGTATTACGTATCCTCATGGCGTACATAGCTTCTAGAACCCAGTGAGCAAGTTTACTGGTGTGGGTACAGAGTATAAAGAACAAACCATGGCTTCTTGATACCTAGTATGCATAGATCTGCACTGTTTTGTTGTCGGTGGATCCTGTGAACATCTTTGTCATTCTCAACCACAGCGGTCGCCCCAATCACAATCCTTGAACAAAGAATGAGGATGTAACAGTGAGGAAAATAGTTGGATCTGGTGATAACTTACGAGAGCTAGATTTCATAGTTACTTTATTGTAACATGTGCCTACTAGGAAATAGTTGATCAAGAATATTCATCCATAGAATTATAAAGATACCATAACTATCATTCATCCAGGACATTAAGTAGTATTGGAAGATGAAAACACCCACTTCGGCATTGATGCGTCTGCATTGTGCAGAAGAACATAATCGAAGAGAAAAAAAACAATCATTGCATATCGTCGTTAGGCCAGCCAAGGACGTCGGACAAGTATAGGCGCATTCGAAGCAGGAAACACGTCATGAGAAAACCTTGACTTTAGAGCTGTCGCTGATTGACTGTCCGTCTACTCAACGCGAATTTTCTTCAACTTAGGCGCCGCCTCTTTCGGAACAAGTATCGAGAGGATTCCGTTTCTCAGACTTGCCTTGACGGCATCTTGGTCGACTCTGGTTGGGAAGGCAAAGGTTCGTTGGAACTCGCCAATTGAGCGCTCAGAGACCCAGAACTTGTAGTGTGTCTGCGTCTGTGCATTTGTAACAGCCTGCTCAGCTGGCTTAGCCGGCGATGTGATAGCAGAGGAAGCATTGCCCTCTTCAGTCTCGTCTTCAACTGTAGGTTGGCGGGACTTTGTGGATGAGCTGTCGTCCCCCGTCTCGGTAGCGGTGTTGTCATAGTTGCGTTCTACGTGACCCTTGATCACAAGAGTCTGCGGGTCACTGAACTCGATCTCGATGTCGCTTTGGCTGACGCCGGGAAGTTCTCCGTCGAGACGATATCCATCTGGGAACTCGCACACATCGAACTTGGGTGCGAATGTCCGGACAGGTGTGACCTTGCTCTTTGGGCGATAGGTACGATGAGTATCATAGTCATCCAAGAGCTGGAACAAGGGAGCCAGGTCGGTCGAAAAACGTGGGAATGCCATATTTGGTAATAGTAGGACAAGCAAGTAGCGTTGTGTTATTCCAGAAAAATGCGACTTGTGGCTAAGAGCGACAACGAAGATATCTTAAAGAACGTATTTAGTATCTTGCTTTGTATTCAACAATGTTTCTCTGTAATCTGATGCTCTGCATTCAACGGGCTTTGAGTAGTTATTATATAATGCTCAGATGCTATTCTAGAAAGCACTGGTATCTCCATGTTGTCGATATGTAATAGGCGTCTAGAAGCCACCGGCATCTCCTAGCTGTTCGATGTGACGACTCGAATTCTCGAGCTGCTTCTCGAAGTTTCGCGGATGAATTTGATGGCATTGCCTCGGAAGATGCGAGAACCTTCGACGTTCGTATGAGTCACGTGATATACGCGAGGTTCTGATGCATCGGAGCAAGCTGTCATAATCCAATGACGCCGATCGTACATTTACATCGTCATGGTAGTCGGTAGTTTGCTTTGAGGATAGTCGGGGAGATCGATGCTTCTGTGGTTGTTGATCGCGAACTCTTCATGGCTGAACGCGCGCCGCGATTACCGGATGTTTCGGATACCAGGGGATGAATACATCTCAAGCTGCCTGTTCCCTTTGCGCAGTAGATACTCTATCGCACTAAAGTCCTTCTTGCTGACAGACATGTTCTTTCGAAACTCTGCTCTGTTGGGGAGTTAGCGGATTTATTGGACTCGGGATTGTGTGCATTTTAAGATCTCTGTCAAACACACTGCTAGAATTCTTCTTGATATACCTTGTGTACGCTTTGAAATTGCTCCTTGTTTCCTACAGTATCGGTTCAATCAGCCAGGAAGAAAGCTATATTGACTGGTTCATCAACTAGCCTAGTCACTCAGTCATATAAAGTGTGCTTTAAGGAGGAGACTCACTGAAGGCTTTTTCCTGATTTCTCTCAGACACTTTCTATAGAGGGACAGGACCTCCCTCTGAAGACCTGATAGGCGGGCCATCGGTTCGGATGGCGTATTATAATTTCACTGGAGAGCTTCTCAGTACAGATAGTCCAAGACTGATGTTCGAACGAAGTTGGGTCATGAATGTTGGTTGTCCTCGAGAAACGATTTTGACGATCAAGCGACCATTGGCCCCGAAGATAGTTCCGGATGAAAGCTTAGCATCTCCAAATTCCTTGAATAGAACAAGCTGCAAGAATGGACCTCACACTGGGGGCAATACTTGAAGAGTTGCGGGCAAACAGGCAGGGAAATGTGAAATTGTGGATGAATTTCCAACAAACACATAATATTACAGAGAACAAATCCGAATGTTTAACAACCATCTAGTCTACAATCCAGATTTCTCTCGGTCTCCGCCGATCTGGGAAGCGGCTATTACCTTAGGTAGCTCCTGTTCCGGCCGAGAAACCATGTACCGAGTACATATATGCCAACTCTAGATAGTCGACATCCGAACCAGACGAACTATCCCACTTCGTACCCATTTATTTACATACTCTGCATGCTAAGTGTATATACGCGCCTATCTATAATATCCAATTGATACACCCGGTTCCGATGACCAATTGAAGACGTCAACATGTCTACGTTTTCTGTAAGTATGGCGCATTTGTCATCTGTCCTATCTTACAGCTACATACGAAGACCAGCCTTCTTTCCCTTCGCTTCACTCGCAAGACAATAATGGCTTCCCTTATTTCATAATACCCCAATCCGGTAGAAGAATTAAATGGTCGTTCAATGCTTATCCATATCGCTATTCTCCGGACAGCGACTCATTCGATTCTTGGCCAAAGACGGCTATGTTTACTATGGTGATGCCATTCTCCCGGCCGGCGTCAGCGACCTTGCCAAAGTGACCAAGGCAAAGGTGATCCAAGGTGACATCTTCGGTCAGCACTGTGTCACAGACAAGGTCTCCGAGGTTAAGATGCTTCTTGCGCCTCTGGCCAGGAAAGATATTAGGACGGTCCGCTGTCTGGGTTTGAACTATGAGCAACATGCGAAAGAGTCCAACCTCCCCATCCCAAAATATCCCGTCCTATTCTACAAACCAATCACGTCCATCGCGGGCCCCACCGATGATATTCCGATATCTACTATGGCGCAAGAAGGCGAAGGTCTCGATTACGAATGCGAACTCGTTATCGTCATCGGCAAGGAAGCCAGAGATGTTCCTGAGAGCCGGGCTCTAGACTACGTGCTGGGCTACGCCGTGGGTAATGATGTCTCTCATCGGGATTGGCAGATCAAGCGAGGGGGCGGTCAATGGGGTCTTGGGAAAGGTTTCGATGGTTGGGCGCCGTTTGGACCAGGCATCGTGTCCTCGCGGTTGATCCGTGATCCCAACGCACTTCATATCTCGACGAAGCTCAATGGCCAGGTTGTTCAGTCTTCCTCTACTAAGGACATGATTTTCAGCGTTGCGAAGGTTGTGGCATTTTTGTCTCAAGGCACCACCCTGTTACCGGGGGACCTGATCTTCACCGGAACGTGAGTTTTTGCCTTACCATTTCATTACTCTCATTTCTTGATACACTATTTGATCGAGGGGAAGCTAACCCTTTTGCTTAATTGCAGCCCGCAGGGCGTGGGCATGGGCCGAAAACCCGCCCTTTGGCTGAAGGACGGTGATCAGGTTGAAGTGTCTCTCGAAGGAGTGGGATCATGCGTAAACCAAGTTGTCTTTGACAGACCCTCTGCTAAGCTTTAAGGGGAACTATGTTCCCTCTAACCTTTGATTACAACAGATCTGTAAATGACTTGCAAAGCTGAGTGAATAGCATAATTGAAATGTTAGATATCATCAGTGTTTCTCAGAGATTGTTCAGGATGCTAGGCCCTTATCATGGCGTCATCCTCTTATGAACTCTGTCACCCCAGCGAATCTCAAGCGACGGACTCCCGTTTGAAAATCAGTTGACCTGAGCTCCGTATCCCCTGATGGATTCGGCGAACGCCCAGCTCTGCTTCTCAATTTTCTGGTCCTCATGCATCTCCACTCCTTCCTTCGTAATCACTGCCAACGAAAATTTGTCGAGACTCCGTGCATCTCGGTACCACAAAACTTTGAGACACTCTTTCAGCGCATTCACCGCCTCTTCCTTGGTGATTTCTTCAACAGGCCTTTCCTCGGGGAACAGTCGACGCAGGATCGGAATAGCGAGATGGGCACCGAATCCAGTAGCAAGGTGTGGGGCTGAGAATGTTGTTCCGAGCAAATCTGCAGAGCTCAAGAAAGGCTGGTTGTTACCGTCGAACCCAGCAACAAGGACTTGATTCCACAGTGGGTTGAACTCAGAACGTCGCTTGTAAAAAACCTTGGACAAGTAGGTATGCAGATTTTTCGCATTCAGCGTGTTGCCATAGGTCGAGTAATTCTCCCGGATGTCAATTGACTCCAAAAGACGGTTGATATGCTGCATATCAGACACGTCACCACTGAATCCGATGACAGCAGATTCACCAAATACACGTAGACGCTTGACATCGGAGAACCGAGCAAGAGAGCCATATGATGCTATCGACAGGATCTTAGGGTCAGTTGTGTGTGTGTCGCAAAGCAGATCTCCCCTTTTACGTACCCAAATTATCGGCGGCAATTGCAACTCCTCCATTGAACTTGACCGCTACTACCGACGTGCCCGTCACAGCCGGAGACTGTGTATGTGACTTGAGGCCAGAAGTCTGAAGGTATGACGGATTGTAAGGTCCATATACATCGTCTCTTGGCTTTGAGAAGGAGACATATTAGTACTCCAATAAGAACTGGGGGAATCCGGTACTCACTCGGCCCCAGGCTTCAGGAAAATGATTCATGATGAAAGCTGCACTTGAGCGTTTCGTTGAGAGGGTACGAGCTAAATTCAGTCGAGGTGGAATGAATGTAAATCCGGAGCAAGTAGAGGTGCGCAGCTTATTTAGCAGGAGCAAGGCGGTTAAGTATCAGGAATGCGATGATGCAGGGTTCGGCCTAGCTAGGCAGGAGAGCTTACGGAGCTCTGGTTACGTTAGCGCCTTATGTCACCCACCGGTGGACATGGCCGCGCGCCTATACGTTAAATTCCTCAATACTATAGCAGCGTCACCATACAGAGCATGTTGTCCCCACCATAAATGCCATTAAAATATGAGATCAAAAGAGAGTTTGATAAACGTGATAGGATAGTGGATATATCTCTATGAACCAATTCTCATATGTGTAGGATTCCTGGAAGAATCTTAGATGACCCGCTGATCTCCTCCTAGCTACTTTTTCAATTCAAAGTACTCTGGAATTTTGAGAAGTTCATGCTTTTCCCAATAGTTTCTACATATCCATACACAGATAGATCACGTAATGCTGGAGTCTGTGGTAACGGAAGGCACGAAATCAATGGTTTCCCTTTGTCCCGTACGCCTCCTTTCTTCGAACTCGTAGTTACTTTCTTTCTGTGACTTCAACAGTTCTTCCTTGTAGCCCCAACTCGGTAAACCAGAGGGATTGGACAATTCAGCAGGCAAAGAAGTATTGTATTGCGCTTGCTCGTCAATCCCTGCATGATCCATCAATTTTCGTAGGAGACTGGGGTTTCTGAGTGACGATGAATTTGCTAACTTCTCATTGAAATGTGTACCTTGCCCTTTCAATGAGAGAAAATGGGTAAACTTCGCATTAGCCACGGGCTCCGGTGAGCCAGGCGGAGACGGGGGAATGTCCAGATTCGCCACGGGAGGTAGAGTTAAATCATGAATCAATGAGCGTGCTGCTGAGGTAGGGGACAACTGGGCATCAGTTGGAAGCTTGTCTGCAGAAGACGGCGCTTCATCGTGCAGCGGTCCCATCATGGGTCCACTAAGTGCCTTGAGAGGAGCTTCATTTGTTAGATTATGGTTGTTGGTGTTTCCAGTTTGAGCTATATCGTGTCATTAGCCTTTGCTCCAGCTAGAGGATACTCAGGAGAAGAGGGGGGCTCACTTATACGACCTGTGGTCGTTGATGCTTTAGTGCCCTGATCATTGTGCTGGATCTGAAATTAATATTAGCGAACAGATATCAGACTAGCAATCCAAAGCCTATACATTCGGCGTTGATGAAGAATGTCTGGGTTCACCCTCATCCTCGCTACTGCTTTGATATGCGCCGAGACCCAGCAAGCTCGTCATTCTTCAAGGAGTGTAGGGATGTTGTTCTAGAGGCTGCTTAACCGCCCGTTTTTTCCCGGTGCACAGGATTATACCCTTCACCAAATAAATCAATTCAGAGAGGACACTTGCGACTCAAATTAGCAAAAAGCTATGTTTGATTATTTCTGGTATTCGTCGTGCCAGTTTAACCAACTCAAGCAAATAAGCCACATCAAGCCACCTGTGGCGTAAGCTATGGAATTAGCTAAGCAGAAGGCAGCTACAGCATCGCGTCAGATACCTTAGTACTTAGTGACCAACCTACCTCCTCACCAGCAACCACACTCACCCTCAAGATCGCACAACTTACGATACAGCGTCCATTGTGTCCATAAGATCACAGATCTGACCTCCTTTCGCTTTCGCATTCATCAAGCCAATTCTCAACGAAAATGGCCTCGATCATGGCTCACGACCCTCAAAGTGAGGCCATTGGATATTCCTTTGCTCAACCAAGTAGCGCTGCAGTCAGAGAACACTCGTTCTACCCGTATGTAACAGGATCGTGCTACAGATTATCTGAACCGTCACTGACTTCTGATCTAAGATATACCGACAATGGAGGCTCTACCCTGGGAATCACAGGTTCAGATTTTGCGATTCTAGCAGGTGACACTCGTTCTGTTGCGGGTTACAACATTAATTCCCGCTACGTTCCCAAGGTTTTCAAGATTGGAGGTGATGCTGAGACAGGGGAGGGTGCCCATATCTTGCTCTCGGTCGTGGGTTTCGCCGCAGATGGTCAAGCACTCAAGGAGCGGCTGGATGCAGTGGTGAAAATGTACAAGTACCAGCATGGAAAGCCCATGTCTGTACGAGCTTGTGCTCAACGGCTATCGACTATTCTTTACCAGAAGCGCTTCTTCCCTTACTATGTCCATGCGATCCTTGCAGGCTTGGACGAGGAAGGTAAAGGGGCGTTATACAGCTACGATCCAGTAGGCTCGTACGAAAGGGAGCAATGCCGAGCAGCTGGGTCGGCAGCGAGCTTGATCATGCCATTCTTGGACAATCAAGTTAATTTCAAGAATCAGTACATTCCAGGCAGCGGGGAAGGGCATGCCCTTGAGCCGAAGAAGGCGGAGCCATTACCAAGGGCGACGGTCGAACAACTAGTTCGGGACGCATTCACTAGTGCTGTTGAGAGACATATCGAAGTTGGAGATGGATTACAGATGATGGTGATCACCCAGAGTGGGATAGAGGAGATCTATACACCTTTGAAGAAAGACTAGAGGGGTTACTGTCGAGTATCCTCACTTGTTTGTTCTGTTTTACTCATAACAGTCCATCCGAATATGTAATGACAGCATGGGAGGGAATATCTTTGCTTGGGGACAACTTTTTTATAACATCACATCAAATGTATCGCATTCGAACACTGGCTACCATAACCCTAAACGCCTATGTCATGCCAAGTAAAGTTGTCGTCAAACCGAGGAAGAAAATAACGAAAGAATCGAATATAGGTATCAAAATCGCTCCTTCATGCGAGACGCCACTTTACGCAAGTTTCCATACACCTTACCCTGTTATATATTAGCAGTTGCTCTTGAGACGGGAAATATGACGCAACACGACTTACCGGAGGACTACCCAAGATCAGAGAAACAATGGCTTCTTGGGCGATTCCCAAATCTCTAAATCTGCCCAAAATGGTAACTTTTGTACCCTGAAGCACAACCCGTGTTCGGCTTGCGTTTTCGATTGCAAACTTGGTCTTCCCATCCTTGCCCGCAATTCGCCCAATAGCGCGACTGAGATGTTCTCCGTTCAACGAAGCCTTGACATCACGGATCTCAAATGAGCGAATATACAGGTCGTCAAGCCTCAATAAGGCAATGGCATCGTCGACATCAAAGCCAAGTGTGAACGCCTTTACGAAATCTTCGCCTTTCTGTAATGCTCCTGTGTCCGTGGTAAATTTAGAGGTACGCAGTTCGACCGCTCGGTTCTTGATGTTCATTCGCACTTGTAGTTTGAGATGTTCAACCAGGGGCGGGTAAATCTTGGGCCAATTCGCCTTTAAGGGCGTCATACGGTGAGGAGGAACTGGCACCTTTCGAGTTTCAACTCGCAGCACGGTCCCGGCATCCGCTATTGGTGTAAACACTGGTCGGCTTTCTTCATCAATGCGCATGTCGCTGTCCCGGGCAGCCTCGACGGGAATCAGAGATGGTGCTTCTCCCTGGCCGGATGCTTGTGCATCTATCAAAATCTCGTCGTCTTGCTCTTGAGACTGTTAGGCGAATGTACGGATCGATCGAGACAGTGACTGAACAAACCTGAAGAAAAAGCCAAAGATGGCTCTTCGGCCGAGAGGGGCTCATCAGACTTTCGAAGAAGCGCTGTCGGTGCTGGCATTCTCGTCGTCTATCTATCGCTATCTCAAGTATTAAATCTCTGTAGATAGGTTTCGCTGACGATCACTTGAGGGGCTTGTTATCGCAAATTTTATGGGCAGTGGTAGGGAAATGTGCATGTGGGTCATGGATTTTTTAGTTGCAAACGAGACAAACATCTGGTGTGCGGGATGATTTCATGGAAAGATTCATGTCTGGGCAGCGGCGAGAAGCTTCTCAAAAGTGTCATATTTACATCTCTAGTTTTCATTGTGGAACTTAAGTTCAAGTATTTCCCACCTTATTTTGCGTCTAGCCTTTGCAGCCTTTTATACCAAACGTTATTTCTATATCCTCTTTCTGTGGACTGACTTCTTATAAGGAAATGTTCAGAATGTGACGGCAATTATGTCCTTCAACTTCGGACGCAGGCTGTACACCAGTATCTGGGACACAGCACATCCTCTGCTTGGGCGTGAGCTCCGGAACAGCCGCATGACCTTTATCTTCGAGTCACCGAACACAGTAAATTGGCTCCGAAGATTTCTTTTCAATACCCATGTGCGGAAGATATCGTCATTGCCGCCGCGAACGAGACATATTACCAAGCGCTTTGCATCTGGTAGCTTTCTTATGCTCGGAGTTTCCCCGAGTCCATGTGCAGTAGAGGCTGGGACATCTTGCGCAATCGGCCCAGAGAAATTCATCTCGCAAAGTCACTTGCTCGATAGGAAATTTGTTTGCGCGTCACTATACACATGGAAAAGAGGTTTGCACACAAACAAGGATGATGGGCCAAAGTCAGAACACTCGAATGAGCCGCTTGGCAATGATAAGAATACTTCTCCCTCTTCGTCTCGGGAAACTGCGGATAGCGATGCTCTATCTGGGAATTTGAAGTCAAAAGAGGAGCACTTTGAGGGATTCACAAGCCGGCACATTATGAACCGTCTGCCCCACATGTCACATCTGCATCGACCTACGAAAGAAGAACTGCTAGCTGCAGCCAATGGCTTTTGGTCTCGTTTGAAAGTACGATTCAAGTGGTTCTCTATCCGTAGCGTTCGGCCCTTCAATTTTGACGAGATTACTGCACTCTTTTCATGGGTGCTGCTGGGTCATGTTGTATGGATCGTCCTAGGGACCACCACGTTCGTTTCGTTGTTGATAATCGCGATAAACACGGTGTTGGCTCAAGGTATGTGTCAAGGCATTGACTGACGGTCTAACTCGAACTATATGTGTTAACACTTATAAGAAACACTGGCAGGGTGGGTGGGCAATTACCTCACCAAATCATCGGGAGTGAAGGTTGTCTTTGAATCCGCCATTGTTCCTAAATGGAGGGACGGCGTCATAACGTTCAAAAACGTGTTCGTCTCAAGACGACCGGGACAGGGAACAGGGCACGTCAGTAAGGGTTCGTCGAAGACTGCAGCTGCGGTGGCTGCCGCTGCCGCCTTGAGCGGACGCTCTAGCCCTGAGCCAGTTGCGGATCAGCAATCGATACCCGATGAGGAGGATACGAATTACACACAGTTTGACGTGTCCATTGAGACAGTTAACGTTACATTGTCTTTCACAAAATGGATCAATGGAAAAGGGCTTCTGCGTGATGTCGAGGTCAAGGGAATTCGAGGAGTTGTCGACCGAAGATCTGTTCATTGGTCGGACGAGCATTTGGATCCGAAATCTTATCGACACGAACATTATCCTGGAGACTTTGAGATTGACTCGTTCAAGATGAGCGATGTCCTTGTTACGGTCTACCAACCGGGTAACTTCAGACCATTCTCTGTGAGTATATTCTCATGCGATCTTCCACAACTGAGAAAGCAATGGCTTCTCTATGACTTCATGTCGGCGAACATGATGACAGGGTCTTTCGACAATTCCTTGTTCACTATTCACCCGCGGCAAAGTCACAGCTTTGCGGGCGCCGAGATGGATAATAATATTGAGGCGGATGGGAAACCCAGCCCATGGAAAAAGCACAGCAGGATACGCATCGATGGGCTAAACATCGATCATCTCAATCGGGGGGTACAAGGCCCCTTTTCCTGGATACATGAGGGCACCGTTGATATTGTTGCCGACATAATGTTTCCAGCTGAAAGTGATGAAAGTTTGGCGCAAGTTATGGCCGGCCTTTACGATCGGTTAGAAGCAACAGTCATATCCAGCCAATATCATGAGTCAGATTCACGCCGTGAATCTGGAATGGACGATTCTGCTTCGAACGACGATAGACGCTTTTTAGTCACTGATCTGCGGCTTCAGTTGAACAATGTTAGGGCAGTGGTGCCTCTATTTACCCGAGATCTTTCGTACATAAACAATGCGCTGATACGCCCCATTGTGGCCTACATCAATTCGAGGCGAACTTTCATTCCTATCCATTGTCGTCTTGTCAAACGACTTGCGGACTTTGACGGTAGTTGGACGACCTTTGACAGCGGGCTCATGGATGACCTTTCGGCCGCGGTAAGCCTTCCACGCGCGACTGGTATGTATACATACTGATTCATTTGTTTTCTCTAGGTATATGATGCATTTGCGCGGGATGTGGTTGATGAGCAAGCGCGCAAACGTCGTTTCAAGAAGGTTGGCTTCTGGTCTCTTCAGCTGGCCGCTCAGGCAATATTCATGGGAATGGCTGGAAACATAGCATGATTTATGTACCTTCTTATATGTATTTCTATGGCGTTACACTGGGTTTCTGGGGAGGACGGCAGGGATCATTGCGGCACGGGGCGTTATAGAGACAATCCCCTCCATTTTCAGATCAAGCTTTCTAAAGGTAAATAAGGCCTGCGTACTAGCTCTGCTCCCTGTTAAACACTTACTGTTTAGAGTAACTCTCGCTTTCTCCTTTTTGGAACTTGTTTACTCTGTCTCTGTGTTGAGCTCGGAGATTCTACAGCGATTGATGGCCAAGATTCCGAAAAAGACCTTCTCTAAGCATCAAAAAGAATTCAGAGGTGCCAGTGTTGTTTTAGTAATAATGACCTTAGATGGTAGAAGATAACTTGCACAACACGCAAGAGATGTCGTCCTCCTTCTTCTCAGTATCAGTGAATAGCAACAGAATATGATCAAAGTTGTAGAAGTCATTATAGAGAAATATGGCCCCCTTGCCCCAGAGCATGCCATAAATCATTCATAGCGTAGCAATCATGATTAAAAGACGCCCATAATAATAATAAATCAATATCACCTTGCTCTAGATCTGACTTTAATTGCCAGACTATAATACTTCTCAATGGATAGGCATTGTGCTATTTTCTTCTTTTGGGAAAGACCATGTCTTTATCATGTATCCCTAATTTCATCTCAGTGATGCCAGCCTGAGAATTTCAACCCTAGCATCGCAATGAATACGACAAACTTAGCACACGGATACTAATTAAATGGAGCTTGATCAATAGCCATTTATTATTTGCTCTCAAGTGCGACCCCTGGCGCCAACCCCTAAGTCTGTGCCGACCGGCTTTCCTTAGTGTCGAATCATTATTTGCCTGGCTCCTCACCCTCCTCATGCTGACTTGAGCTTCGACTCCTTAACGAGTTCGCCATGTCGCAGCTTCGGCACGGCAGCGACAACAATCCCAGTCTCAACCAGCCATCTGCAGCGTACTCCGTTTCACCCAAAACGAGGGATGCAGAATTCCCACGTTCCCCGTTGACAGGAAATCTTATTCCTCGTGACTACTTAGTTGCGCGAGCCGACGCCCAGCCCTTACGTTCTGGGGTTGTCGCTGGTACTGGCCCCCGCAAACCAACGCCCTCCCCCTTGAATACAAGTGACTGTTGTCGAGAAGACAGTCAAGACAATTTCGGCTTGTTACAGAGTCCTGTATCCCCTCGATCATCCGTTAAAACAGCTCCGCCGCCCAACCATTCTTCGACTAGTCGAATAGCCCATGCTGCGTTTGCTGCATTGCCCTCAAAACTATCCGGTTCTGGCCAGAAGTTGACCACATCGTCGGCAGGCGATAGGGCGCGTGGTGACCTGAAACAGCATGGTAGAGGTATGACTGCGATAGAAGACATCGGAGCACGCAAATTATCGGATACAGGTGACTCGGTGCAGTCACCAACATCATCTCCAGTATCACTACTGGACTCCTTGCAATCAATGTCTGGGGACCGAACGCCGGGGCACCGTATTATGCCCCGCACTTCATCAATTGATTCTGCAATCTCTTCTCTGTCGTCAGCGTCTCAACCCCATAAGTCGTCGTTCGATGCCAGCGCGGTCAGCCAAGCTGATATCGATCACCTTATAGCAACCGCAGGATCCCCCGAGGCTGTTATCATACATCTCCTGAAGGAGAAGCATCATGCAGCCTCTCAGAATGCGCAACTCTGGAGACTGGTGGACAAGCAGCGGACTTTGATACTTGGCCTGAATAAGGATCTTGAGCGCGCCTTGAAAGAGAAGGAGCGATATAAGAAAAAGGCCAAAGAGCTACAGAATTCTATACCTCCGGTGCCATCCAATACTGATCACATTGTTCAGTCTCGAGGTGCCGATAATGGGGTCATCCGTGTCAGTCAGGATTTATCAAAGCAAGAACAGGACCAGGGCGAATCATCAGAGGCGAAGAGCACGAATGTGGGCATGCAGGATCTCTGCGACAGCCCCGTTCTCGCCCCGAGAGCGAAAACAGATCTTTTGTCTCCTGCCGGACCAGACTCCCCGTGCCTGAATACGACATCGCCCACTGAGTTTGACACCGCGCGGCCTGAACAAACAGAGCATTTCGATCAGCACTTAAATTCGCAATCGCTCGTTTACTCGCGGAAAGAAATGTCAGCAGCAAGCCCAACTTCTTTGGCCAGTTCTAGCTCAGCTCTGAACGAGACCCTGCCAGCGGAGGATAGACAACAGAGACTTCCTCATCCTTCCCGCAAGCCTCCTCCTGCCCCACTGAAGCTCGGACAAGCACAACCTGCAGCTATGGAGAACTCCGGCATTTATGATTCAGAATCCGATTACGAAGATATTCTGGAGGTCGACGAATTGCCGGTTGAGCGTGGTAGGCGGAAAACGAGGGGTGACGATGATCGAGAACGGGAAGCAGCCCTTGACAGGGAAATGGGCGCTTTTAAGGCTACTGAAGAAGAGACACCACAAACATATCTTTCAGGCAAAACGTCTACCAGTGGACTGACACTCGGGATATCTGAGGGCCCCCGACAACACCTTTCGTCGTCCTCTCCAATTGAAAATCAGGATTCTCTGACTTCTGTTCAAAGCCCTCGAAACAACCATGCGCCATCTTTGAACGATCAACCCGCATTCGCAGTCCCGAAGAGTCCGGGACTGCCTCTCAGCCCAAGACCAGAAGATCGCCCTATAGGCTCTCCCTTGCCCCGGATGCCCAGGGAAGTGCCAAACTCATTGGCACATCTGCCGATGTCTTCAGAGAATAGCCTCGCAGGCTTAGCCCTGTCCCCGCGCGCTACTCATCATCCAAATCCCTTTGCTCCCGGAGCTTCTATGTCTACTGATACTAGTCCTTCGCATATTGATGCTACCCACAGGCCTATTCCCACAATCGACCATGGCTCGAGAAAGGGCAATCCTCGGTCACCCTGCCCTCCTGCCACCGGGATATATCGAGGCCTGATGTCTGAGGATTTCCCCGGTCTTCTTTTGCCTCCGAACGCTCTTCCTTTGATACGAGTGAAGGTCTCTTCGTCGCGACTTAGGCCTTCTAGAAACAGCTATATGGCACCAAAGCCCTCCGAAGAAGAGCCAGTATTCACCCTGGGTGTCTTTTCGCGGTCAGAGAACCTAGAACTTTGGCGCGTAGAGAAAGTCGTCGCGGCCCTCCCGCAGCTGGATCAACAGATAAGACAATCGTCTGCTTTGTGGATGAAACTGCCAGATAGATCGATTTTCAGCGGTCATTCCCCTGCGAAAATCGACGCGAGACGTGCGGCCTTGAATTCCTACTTCGAAGCTCTGCTTGACACACCCGTAGACGAGAGAGCGGCATTAGCGATCTGCCAGTTTCTTACTTTGGATGCAATTGAGCCGCGAGATGACGAGTCAAGTTTGCTGAAGGGCAACAGTAAAGCGACCTCGGAAGCTTTGGCAGGTCAAGATGGAAAACCCCAAAAGGAAGGGTATTTGACAAAAAGGGGCAAGAATTTTGGCGGCTGGAAAGCACGATACTTCATACTCTATGGGCCTGAGTTGAAGTATTTTGAATCGCCAGGTGGTCCTCACCTCGGGACTATCAAGATTTTCAATGCTCAGATCGGCAAGCAATCGCACCCCCCAAATAACTCAAATAACCCTTTGTCCGGGGCCGAAGATGACACTGAAAACCAATACCGACACGCCTTTCTCATATTGGAACCGAAAAGAAAAGACTCATCAGCGCTTGTGAGGCACGTGCTCTGCGCTGAGAGCGATGAAGAAAGGGATGCTTGGGTCGAAGCACTCCTGGCATATGTTGAGGGACAATCGGATAATGAGGGCACAGAGAACACGTCGCCGCAGAGTCAAGTTTCAACCCAAGCAAGACATGTCTCTCAATCAACCTCGAAATCTAAACTCTTCGCAGGTGGGGGCAAAAAGAGTGGCAAGGGAATGAACAACGCGGAGATGGACTTGACCGATACTGTGCAAGGATTCAGTTATGATGATGCTGTTCCTGCGGAACCGCCTCTTCTGGGTCCTCCACCCGAAAAGCAACCACCGAGATCCCCCATGTTCCCATTAGAGGCAGCAATGGAATCTTTGGATACAAACCCGGCTTTGGATCATGTTCAGCTCTCATCTAAGGTGATATCTGGACCTACAAACGGTACAGTGATCCAGGATGCAGGGGCCTGGGGCAATAAAACCGTCACTAGCACCAAGGAGAAGAAGCGCAGCATCTGGGGTTTCCGCACAAGGTCATCGTATGATCTTGCCTCGCAGCTGCAGGCGAGTCAAGAACCTTCGTCAGCTCAAGCACTCGTGAATCCTTCTACAGAAAGGAAAGACCTCGTCAGGCCTGTATTCGGAATACCCTTGGCGGAGGCTGTGCAGCACTGCGCTCCACAAGGTATTGACGTCGATTTACCAGCTGTTGTCTATCGCTGCATTGAGTATCTCAAGGCGAAGGGAGCAGCAACAGAGGAAGGTATATTTCGATTAAGCGGTTCCAATGTGGTCGTCAAAGCGCTGAAGGAACGCTTCAATACTGAAGGGGATGTTGACTTCCTTGCTGGTGATGAGTACTACGATGTTCATGCTGTGGCCAGTCTTTTCAAGCAATATCTACGGGAGCTCCCAACAACTGTTCTTACTCGTGAACTACATCTGGATTTTCTACGTGTGCTCGGTATGTGCAGTTTCCTTCCCTCTTTTCTCTCCACTTCGCTCTGAGGCGCAATGCTAATCGAACCCTTTTTAGAATTGGATGAGCGGCAGAAGAAAATCCTGGCATTTAATTCACTTATCCACAGGCTCCCACGGCCAAACCTGGCCTTATTACGAGCACTAGTTCAGTTTTTGATTATTATTGTCAACAACTCCGAAGTGAACAAGATGACAATCAGAAATGTCGGCATTGTCTTTGCACCAACGCTCAACATTCCAGCCCCAGTTTTCTCCATGTTCCTCACAGACTTTGAGAGCATATTTGATAAAATGCCAGAAGGCCGGTTAGAACCAGCAGAGCTTAAAGTTGATCGGCCGGCGCTCCCAGAAGACATCCGCTCTCCACGCCATCAGATGTTCTCAGATTTGCCCACGCCTGCGTATAACCAAACAACGTTTCGCAGGCCCACAGAAGTCGCAGATGATTTACGACATGACACGGGGTTTATTTCAATGCAGCCAAGTTATGAGCAATCGTCTCATAACCCAGTGGAACATTACAACCGGCAGCCGGATTCCCCAGCTATGAATAGAATGTTGATGCCCACCGTTGATAATTCCCGTTCTGCTAAGGCCAAGAGAAGGGAGAGCTCTATGTTGTTCATGGAATACAACCACCAAAGCTCAGGTCTCCCAGCTATGCGCGATGATCAGAGTAAGTGTCTGTCGATTACGCCCGATTCAGCCTTCTTTTGCAAACTGACTCGAGAGAATCCAGGTGAATGATAAGATGATCATGTATCGAGTGGAATTCTGATTCCATGCATCTCCACACCATACCTCCTCCACCAAGGCACTGACTCGCCCTTCCCTGCCTTTACATCTATATCCCCACCGTTTTGCCTTCCTCTTCTTGCATATTATGTGCGTTTTATTCATCAATTATAACCTTGCATTATGTCTTCTTTCATGATTAAGGTTAATGTCAATCACGATTTGGACGGACGTGGAATGATAATCACGAAGCCATACATACATACGACGAAGGAGCTACATCCAGGCACTTAATGTTAATGTTAATTGTTCTCGAGGACTATATCTTGGCAGCGGTGGCCCAAGAGTCAGTGCCTTAATTATCTGATACAGACGTGTTTGGACGCCATTTTGTGACTTTAGCTGACCCCAGTGCACACTTATATCAAGCAGTATCTATCTTGAGGGTTCCGAGCTTTGTATCAATGTATACTTTGTCTATAACACCTTCCCCACAGTTTAAAGGTCATGGGTTATTACAATCGCCAATTCGGTATTCTCCAATAAGATGGTTTACCTTGCGAAGTTCTATCGGAACAAGCAAATCAAGAAGGCAGACTACTATGGATGGTCTATGAACGGTGGTGGTAGAGTTAACATTTAAAATCTTCTTGTCCGTTCACCCCTCCAGAAGCCCATCAATTCGCCGTTTTCGCTAATCCAATCCCTGACGCCGTCTACTACGGCTTTTGCCATCCCCTTATTCTTCATTTTTCCATCTGATGACAAAGCACTGCGAGTACGTCCTACGGCAGGAACATGCTCGCCTGTCGCGTACTCAGATCCCATACTTGGCAAGACATTTTCCCCTGCACTGAGACTAACAAAAAGGGCAAATGGAACTAGCCACACGCAGAGTCCAAAGTAAGAAGCCACCTCGGTGAAAGTTGGCATATCTTCGATATCAACTTCGTACGGCTGACGCCAGTTGCCCACTCGTGATGAAGGTAGCGGGTTCGAAAAATGGCGGAACCAGAGCCAGTGATTCAAGCCAACGAGGACACACGATAAAATAAATAATGGATCAGACAATTTGACAATTGGGAAACGTCGTAAGTTGCTCGCGTACACGATGTGTGAGCCGATACTGAAGATGGAGAGGAAGAAGGGAAATCCATCGAAGAGGAAGAGAAGAATCTGGATGACGATGATACTGTATATCAATCGAGTCAACACCCGACGTGCGAAGACTGTATGTTCTTCCACGAGCTCTGATAGATAGTATAGCCCCGATGCTAATTTGTAGTTAGTTCAGATGTTCTGGGAACTGTTACAAATTTCTCAAAGCGAGTTTAGGCTAGTTTTGCGAAACTGAAGCATCATCGCAATGAGTCTCATTGTCGGGCTGCTTACCTATAGCTAGTGTTAGGAAAGTAAATCCTACAATGACCCCTAAGTAGCCGACAAGAGGTAGGATCCACATTTCAAGATAATAAGGCGATGAAGCCGGAAGTAGAACGAGTCTTAGCTGTCCCTAGAATGGAATTGGAAACGAATCAACAAGAAGGATGGGAGTCGAACAGGAAGCAAGAAAGCTCAAGAGGAGACTATGGAACGTCAGTGCGTCTATAAAATGTCGTGAAAGGGTATATCGAACACGGCGTCGGGGCGTTATGGTGGCTAGTCATATCTGGTATGTCTGGTAGTCTATAGTGGGCATCTACCTTGTCCGAAAGTTGGACGCCTTCATCCACAACCGGACGGCTGCGATTTGATGCCTCAGGCCTGGAGCTTCAAGCGGGCAAATCAGCCACCGTGCCGTCATCAGATTGAAGAAATGGTGGGTAAAGGAGAACCAAAAAAAAAAAAAGAAAAAGAAAAAGAAAAAAATATTTCCCCTCCCCCCAATAGCAAGATAATATTCGAAGAGTGAAAGAGACAAAGGCAGCTTGGTTACCAAATAAACTTTCCAGCATAGTGCCGTTCACATTTATAATTGAAGATTCTCACTCACCCTGTTGAACTGAGACCCTGCTGAGCTAAAAGAAGCAGTAAAGCTCTCTCTTTGGCATATTCCGATACATATCTTCGGTGGATCAGCGATTCATTTCACCTTGCCAGCCATGTCTCGTCCTGAGGATGTTCTGTGGGTTATCTCAATGCGAAAACATTACTCTTGTTCTTGTTTCACTTACGCTTGGTGCTGACATGAGTTTTCGAATCCCATACGCAAAGGCCTCCCGATCTTTTTTACGATGACAATGAATCTCGAAAATACACGACTTCATCCCGTATTCGTAACATTCAATCAGATATGACCCATCGAGCGCTGGAGCTTCTCGATCTTCGTTCTCCATCGCTCATCCTTGATGTGGGGTGCGGTTCCGGCCTTTCTGGCGAGATCCTTTCCCAAGTTCCTCCTCAGGAGGGTGGACCTCATACCTGGGTCGGGATGGACATTTCACCAAGCATGCTTGATGTGGCACTGCAACGAGACGTCGAGGGTGACTTGCTCCTGGCTGATATTGGGCAGGGCGTGCCATTTCGGCCTGGCACCTTCGACGCGGCTATCAGTATCAGTGCTATCCAGTGGTTGTGCAATGCGGAGACAAGCGATGTCAGCCCCGAGGGCCGTCTTCGTAGATTTTTTGAGGGGTTATACTCCAGTCTCCGCAGAGGCGGACGTGCTGTCTGCCAATTCTATCCAAAGAACGATGCGCAACGGACCATGATCAGCGGCGCTGCTGTAAGAGCTGGCTTCGGAGCTGGTATCTTAGAAGATGACCCTGGCACAAAGAATGGCAAATTATATCTCGTCCTGACCGTCGGAGGTGGCGGACTGCATGGCGATATTACTGGCGTTGTCCAAGGCATGAATGATGTTGACATCTTGGATGCCAGGAGGAAAGCCGCGGAGCGCAGCAAGGTCCAGCCATCCAGGAAAGGAGACAAGGCCTGGATTCTGCGAAAAAAGGAACAAATGGCGAAGAAAGGGAAAATTGTGAAAGCAAATTCCAAATACACCGGAAGAAAGAGGCGTCCTGCGTTTTAGCTTTACATGCTCTGTCCGGCTGTGTGCCACAATTTACGCAGCTCCGGGTCATTCGTCCATTGCAAGAAGTACAGCAAGATCGACGCGACGCAGTGGTTAACAGATCCCTTGCTCTAGACTACTTAACCGAGCGCTTGCTTGTACGGTGAACTGAATTGAGCAGTCATCCGATATGTCCGTTTGACATCCGACGAAAGGCCTTCCTGCTCTCACGAACATTACAAACTATTCGACAGATGGGTCTGTCTCGAAGGGGTGCTTTCAGATCAGAGCCGCTCCAATCAGGGGTCTATTGGTTCGGAATGGGCGGTGGACCATCCTCTAAGAGAATTTCGTGTGTCAAGCCTGGGGTAGGATGTCTCATGCTGTGTGGAAGCTCATGGAGCAAAGATAGGCTCATAGATTACTGCCGATTGATGATACCCTTGATTTCGACAAAAGCAAACTTTAAAGCACCTTTATTCATAACGACGCATCTAACACTTACTCCCTATCCCACAATCATGTTTATCGCCTCGAATATACAGTAGACGTCTTCTCGCATTGTATGCGGTTGTAAGTGGTACAAAGTATAAGCATAGGTCTAACCAGCTAGCAAGGCCTTCAGCGAACACGACAACAGACCATTTTTTCTTCGTCATCATGAGAATTGCAGAAAGGAGATGAGTGGTATCGGTAGCAATTACAGAGCAGCCTCCATCTTGTCCAAGACAGCTCTGGTGAACTCGTGAGTGGTGGCTTGTCCACCCATGTCGCGAGTTCTCGTTTTACTGAAGATGTGAGAATTAGCCGAGTTGGACCGTCGAAAAAGACGATAGTAATGTGGACTCACCCTTCACCAATCACATCATACACGGCCTTGGAGATCCTGTTTGCGTGGTCGTCCAAGCCAAGGTGGCGAAGAAGCATGGATCCAGAAAGGATCATAGCACTGGGGTTAGCCTGATCTTTGCCCTTGATATCCAGGCCAACGTGACGGCAGCCGGGCTCGAAGACCGCAACATCACGTCCCATGTTGCAGCCAGGAACCACACCAGGTCCACCGACAAGGGCAGCGCCAACGTTGGATAGAATGCCTCCGTACAGGTTGGGCATGACCATCACGTCGAATTGCTGGGGTCGAGAAACGGCCTGCATAGATGCATTGTCGACAATCATGTCGTTGACTTCCAGAGTAGGGTACATCTCGGCGACCTTGTGGAAAGTACTGCGAAACAAGCCATCGGCGAGTTTCATGATGTTTGCCTTGTGAATGCAGGTGACCTTCTTCCTGTTGTTGGCGAGAGCAAATCCGAACGCGAATTTGGCGATGCGCTCTGATTTGGCACGAGTGATGATCTTCAGCGACTCAACCACACCCTGTACCGACTGGTGCTCAAGACCGGAGTACTCTCCCTCGGTATTCTCACGGATAATGCAGAGGTCAACGTTCTCATGCCGTGTCTTGTAACCGGGGATATTCTTGATCAGAACGATCGAAGCGAAAATATCAAGTTCTTGACGGAGAGCAACATTGAATGACTGGTGACCCGAGCGCTCAACAGGGGTGAACAGGATACCCTTGAGACCTAGCTTGTTGCGTCTAAGAGAGGCGATGGATTCCTTGAAGAGCTCCTCCGAATGCTTGTTGCCTGTATCGACGCCGCTGACATCTACCTGCTCCCATTCAATAGGAACGTTGTCGGCCTTGAAGATGGTCTTGACTGATTCGGCAACTTCCGCACCAATACCATCACCTTTGCATCGCAGAGAAAAATTTCGTGTCAGCGATACCGACTATTGACATTCAGGGAAACGCGGGAAACGCCAGGGGTGAGGTATAGGTACCTGGAATGAGAGTAACGGTGTACTTGCCGCCATACTTCGTGGGCTTGAAGATGTCGGACTGCACGCTAGCAAAAGCTGGAGACCCAAGTCAATCAATGTCATAGGAAAGCAGCCAGTCCCGCTGCAAAAGCATTGAAGATACGTACATCTTGCTGGGATCGAGGAGTGCACTAGAGAGCCTGCACCAGCTGCGCGGCGGAGGAAAGCCTGCAGAATAGAAGAAATTAGCTTTAATTAACAACAACACGACGTCGAAGTACGGGGAATGATAAAGCTACTGCAATGCGGCTGCAATGCTGCTGCTGGGCGGAGGGGAGTAGCCAGAAAGAGAAGGGGAAAATGGGACAGGAAATGAGAAAAAGCTCGACCACGAGCCACACAATCTATCTGACGTTGGGTCTCACTAACCTGCGCGGGCTGCGCCGTCCGCAAGGAGAACATTTTGGGAGGCAGTGGACACGAAAAGAAAATGGACAGGAAGAGAGGAGATGAAAAGAATTGTTCCCTGGTGAGCAAGAAAACGCGCAGACAAAACGACGGATGGAGTTGGAAAACGAGGTGCACGGCCACGAGGAAGAAGGAGGCGCCGGAAAAAACGGCGGATCATCTCGGCATCCATCAGGTAAGGTGTCTATTCCGTCCTCCATCCTTTATTTGCGCAGTGCCTGTCTCAGAACACGGCCCGATCTTATCTTTCCCCCCTCTCCGCGTCATTATATCATCAGTCCTCAACATAGACACAGGTAAAAATGCTTTGATTATTTACAATGAATAAGAAGAAGCGAGAAAGAAGGGTCGCTGGAGACAATAGTCGCTGTAATCTGCAAGTTATCGCTAGACACTGACAGGACAGTCTATCTGTACGAACGCTAAACTCAGTACGGAGTACTCCGTACAGAGATACATCATGATCAAAAGTTCTTTTTCTTGGCTTGTTGGGTAGAGAGATCATTATACCTCTGCGGTACCCAAGGGGGGATATTCCTCTGTTCCTTGACCACGTCTGTTGCAGTCCATTCCGAGTATATTTAATGTTTTAGCAGTCTATCAATCAACCTCAAGACCTCTCCAGTACTGCTAAAAGAAAGAGATGATGCAAAAGTTTATTGAGGAGCTTAACTTTATTGATGGCAATTGTCTATTGACACTATTGACTGCACATAAATGCCTCGAGCACCTGCTATTCACATTTTTTATCCATCATGATAAAAGAGTTTCCAGGTGAATAACTGGCCTGGATGGATCCCGGTCAATCTCAATGCTATTTCAAAACTATGGATCAATAACACAAAGACTGACTCTTATAAGGAGGTGCTTTTGCGGTTGCTATTGATTGAGATCTATTCATGGGATGCACACTTCTTATTCATTCCCCCGCTTCACAGCTTTCCGACAAGATTTGGATAGAATCACTCAAGCCTTGGGAATGCATCTCCATGCGTTGCATTTGGCAAGGTCTCTGTACCATGATCCTACTTAAAAGCTCATGAGACCTGCCTCGAATCGATCTCTTGGTTGATATCAAGTCATCAATTCCAATTCAAAGCCAGGCTTTACTCTACAGTGACGCATTCATTTCTATATCTCCACTTCATTTGATCATCGAAGATGAAGCTCCTCTCGCTCGTTCTCGCTACCCTCGCTGCCACTGCTGTCCAGGCAGACATTACGCCGTGGTGCCATCTTCCTGGCCAGGGTTGCTACATGCTTAAGCGTGCTGCTGATGCCTCGGATGAGGTCAGACGTTCAGCTAGTGCCGTCGCTGAGGCCGTCGCGGAGGCCTTCCCGCAGACTCCGTGGTGCCATCTTCCTGGTCAAGGTTGCGCCAAGGCGAAGAGAGCTGCCGAGGCCGCTGAAGAGGTGAAGCGCTCTGCCGATGCCTTTGCTAATGCCATGGCTGCTTTTGAGGAGGAATAGGAAAAGCTGGTATTACCCCTCGCGGTTTTCCACCAACGAGTTTTCTTCCTTCGACCAGTTTCGTTGTCTTTTTCTGTTTTTATTTTCCTCTTTACCGAACCCCTCCTTTCTTCTCTGACGCTGTATGGTCTTTATTCTGTTGCAGTTGTTCGAGATACGTCACACCCCGGAGTATCTCGGGCTGGTTATGACTCCATACTGAGGCGAGATGTCACAGGGCTGATTTCTGGCGCCCCATGTACTGCCAATGTCCTCTTCAATCATGGCTACGATTATTTGCTTGGCTATTGAAATTTGGGGTGGGGGACCGATGCAGGAGCGTCTTAATACGTGGAGGTCCAATTCGAGGGGAAGATATGAAATATCACAAAGCTGATGGACGAGCAGGGGTTTTGTTTCCAAGCATTCGTGTCGATATTGTGTTTTGACATGGGGACTGGACATATATAAGGCGAGACAGCCTTGTGTTCTCATGGCACTCTGGCCTGACAACTAACTCGTCATTATTTCTTCTTACAATGGTTGAGCCGGCATATGTCATACCTTTCAAGTGCTGCAAGATTTGCCTCGCATTAACTTATGTGTACTTGTTTGACCTGTGGTAAAATCACGCGGATCGAGATGCGATATTTGTAAGAAGCCATATCACAAAGTCCTGAAAAACAAGATTGTAGTCTTTTGTCGAGTAATCCAATTCCCCAAAGTGCTGGAAATCACAGTAACAGTGCACATTAATCAACTTGTGCTAATTATAGTGTTCTTTGACTTTAACTAATGCCTGTCATTGGGGATAGTGCATAGGTGTAGTAGCATGGGAATTTAGACAAACAGAAATGAGCCTCATTGCTATGGCCTCTAGATGTCTGTCTTCCAAGATTACCCGAAAATACACAGAGCAGGATAACTCAGGCAGATTGCTTCAGTTGGGACAAACTTTTTGGACCCATAAAGGTATTCATAACAAGCAGTGCAGGACTGCATAAATGTACGTTACCAGATAGGCTGCCACTACGAGGGATACAGGAGTAAAATCTACTACCTTGGTGATCAATTTCTCCATGGGGATACGTTCTGACCCTGATTAGGATATTTACTTGATTTCACCAAGGTCGGATCTGGTAATCCTAGTATATACAGAGATAAAGTTGATGGGGTTCAGCAACCCCACCATCATCAAAACATAGGAAGGAGCTTGGAGAAGGGAAAATGTAGGAAACATATGTCATCTATCAGGACTCCCAAGCATGGACTTGGAAATCATAACAGCATCGATTCCACTAAGACAGAAGAAGTCAAGTTGAAGCCGTAGGGTTGATGCATGGATTGTGAGCAACTCCACTCTCCGAACATATCTATCTCTGTAGTGTGCGGGCTGATATGCCATCGAGTGTTTAGGACATTCCACCACTGCCACAGGCCCCTGATATAGGATAGCCAGTCCCTACAGTTGTACTAACGAGATAGCTATCCCAGATAGTTTCAAAAGAACACAGTGCGAGCGATACAGAGCAAAAATTCGCGCTGACAATGCCAGATGAACAAGGGCAGGGTAACACACTGAAGCATAATTCAGAGTCATATCACTGAGCTCTTACCACATGCGAATTCACGAATTACTCGTGGACTGACTTTACCTGAACTTATAGGGCTATTCTCCTGTGGTCGTTCGATGCCATAAGGTTGTACGGATAATTTCCCCATGCTTGATTATCATATGGCTTTGAGAGGGTTGCGCCACCTGGGTGCATCCCAAAGGTCGCCGCTTAATAGACCCAAGTTCAAGAATCAATACCTCTCTATACACAGACGGAAAATCAACACCAACTGTGGCTCCTAGATGAAGGGGTTGAAGACGTAAGAGTCACTTCCATCAAATTTAGCTATATTCAGCAACGAAGCCCCTCCTGCCGACCAAATGAATCAACTTAAGTCCATAGGCTCTGTTGCTGCCTGGCGCGCCACATGCGAGGAATGATGGTAGTGCTGTGTGATACTATAAACGATCGGACGGAGGACCTTTTTGTCCTTTGGTGGTCCAGACCCCATGCTCATCTGTTTTGCAAACAGCGTCGCAAGGTCATTCTGCATTGCAATATTACTCTCAGACGCCGATAGGCCACACTGAATGCGTCACTAGTCAGGAGCTCAGACCGAGGATGGGCAAGGAAAAGATCCCACCTCTGCACAACAAGGGTTCATAATGAATGCAGCTAGCGCGGTAGACACGTCTGTGACTTTTCCGCAAAAGGCGCACGTATGCAGAATAGAGGAGGACATTTCAAGAATGCTGGGCTGAAGTGTAGGCAGAAAAAAGATCAATCAATAATACCGTCTAGCTATTATGGAACGTCACGCAGGCGTGAGGGCGGGATATGCGTAGTATATGCTTAATTTGTCTAGCGAGTCTGACAGACAGAGACTGGAATCGAACTGATGACTCTACCATCAAGCAGAGATCAGGGAATTGAAAAAGAGAATGGTTGGGATCAAAAAGGAGAAAGAGTTGGACTTTCAATGGCGATAAGAGGTCCATATAGTTCGTTGGATGCCTAAGAAATTGGGACTCAAAACAACAGGTTGGGCACGCAACAACGTGAGTTTACTTAAAGCGGGGGCTTGTACAGAGTACAATCAACAAAAACAGGGCATCTTCTGCTTTTGCGCAGTGAACAGACTCAAACCAAATGCTAGAGATTTGTGGTGAACTTCGCGCCATATATAACAGAGGAGACACACCTCCTCATAAGTCATGAGTCTTATCGAAGGAAAAGGTGGTAAAGTATCAATTCCCTTACTATCTAGAACTATTTCCATCTGTCTTTAGACTTGCAGTGCCTTAAGCATTATTAAGTGATGGACTTGGAGAGTTATGTAGTTAGTATAATTGGAGGTATTAGTCATATTATGTGCATTATTTTCTTTTAGTTATACATTATAATATTATGTGATAATAACGGTTGTAGCTACGTACAGTAGTGATAGGCAGAAACCCCGTGACGCGATCACAGCTACCTACCTTAGCATCCACGTCTCTGCAGCCAGCAAGTTAGCTTGCACATACTGCTGCCATATCTTATCTTGAACCTCTCCTATATCATTGACATCTGATCCATTGCCTTCATCGTACCTCTCTTTACTTGTCATTTGTTCCTGCCTGAACATTGATCTCATTAATTGATACTTACCTTCCTGCCACTGCTCTCATCGCACCTGTGGTTGTCTGTCCAACGTCACAGCTATGGTTCAGTCCCTCTCTCCTCTGTGACGTTAAAATAATCCAAAAATCTGACTTCACCTCATTATAGACATCTATCGGTACTGGATATGATCTATCGAACTCCGTTTTTTCTCCAGACGGTCGCAATTTCCAGGTATTTGATATACTCCATCTGCCTAGCTAGGAGGTACTCATACACCCGGCAGGTGGAATACGCAGTCAAGGCGGTCGAAAATGGAGGGACAGCCATCGGTATTAGATGCAAGGACGGAGTTGTCCTGGCGGTAGAAAAGATCGTCACGAGTAA